GCACAAGGCTTATTCCTCTAAGAAAAAGGAGGAGTAGATGTAAAATAGAAAGAGACAGGCGCTCCCTTTACAGGCGACGGAAAAGAATAACAGAGCGGCTAAAAGAGGTCAATATATCTGAAATGCGTAGGGAGACACTGGTCAGAGAAATAGCAAGCATCGAACTTAAGCTAAAGGAATCTTATAGGAGTCAGGAATCGCGGGAAGAACTAAAAGCCATAAATGAAATCGAAAGAAACCCAAAGTATTTCTTCTCCTATGCCAAATCAAAGTCGAGAACAACGTCCAGTATTGGGCCCCTACTTAAACAAGATGGGTCCTACACAGATGACAGCAAGGAAATGAGTGAGCTACTCAAGTCCCAATATGACTCAGTTTTTAGCAAGCCGCTAACCAGACTGAGAGTCGAAGATCAAAATGAATTTTTTATGAGAGAGCCACATCTATCCGATGTTATCCTGACGCCAAATGACTTCGAACAGGCGATAAATGACATGCCCATGCACTCTGCCCCAGGGCCAGACTCATGGAACTCCGTGTTCATCAAGAACTGCAAGAAGCCCCTATCACGAGCCTTTTCCATCCTATGGAGAGGAGCATGGACACGGGGGTCGTCCCACAGTTACTAAAAACAACAGACATAGCCCCACTCCACAAAGGGGGCAGTAAAGCAACAGCAAAGAACTACAGACCGATAGCACTAACATCCCATATCATAAAAATCTTTGAAAGGGTCCTAAGAAGCAAGATCATCACCCATCTAGAAACCCATCAGTTACACAACCCAGGGCAACATGGGTTTAGAACAGGTCGCTCCTGTCTGTCTCAACTATTGGATCACTACGACAAGGTCTTAAATGCACTAGAAGATAAAAAGAATGCAGATGTAATATATACAGACTTTGTAAAAGCCTTCGACAAGTGTGACCATGGCGTAATAGCGCACAAAATGCGTGCTAAAGGAATAACAGGAAAAGTCGGTCGATGGATCTATAATTTCCTCACTAACAGAACACAGAGAGTAGTCGTCAACAGAGTAAAGTCCGAGGCAGCTACGGTGAAAAGCTCTGTTCCACAAGGCACAGTACTCGCTCCCATCTTGTTCCTCATCCTCATATCCGACATAGACAAGGATGTCAGCCACAGCACCGTGTCTTCCTTTGCAGATGACACCCAAATCTGCATGACAGTGTCTTCCATTGCAGACACTGCAAGGCTTCATGCGGACATCAACCAAATCTTTCAGTGGGCTGCAGAAAACAATATGAAGTTCAACGATGAGAAATTTCAATTACTCAGATATGGCAAACACGAGGAAATTAAATCTTCATCAGAGTACAAAACAAATTCTGGCCACAAAATAGAGCGAAACACCAACGTCAAAGACCTGGGAGTGATCATGTCGGAGGATCTCACCTTCAAGGACCATAACATTGTATCAATGGCATCTGCTAGAAAAATGACAGGATGGATAATGAGAACCTTCAAAACTAGGGAGGCCAAGCCCATGATGGCACTCTTCAGGTCACTTGTTCTATCTAGGCTGGAATATTGCTGCACACTAACAGCACCTTTCAAGGCAGGTGAAATTGCTGACCTAGAAAATGTACAGAGAACCTTCACGGAGCGCATAACGGAGATAAAACACCTCAATTACTGGGAGCGCTTGAGGTTCCTAAAACTGTATTCCCTGGAACACAGGCGGGAGAGATACATGATTATATACACCTGGAAAATCCTAGAGGGACTAGTACCGAACTTGCACACGAAAATCACTCACTACGAAAGCAAAGGACTTGGCAGACGATGCAACATCCCCCCAATGAAAAGCAGGGGTGTCACTAGCACGTTAAGAGACCATACAATAAGTGTCAGGGGCCCGAGACTGTTCAACTGCCTCCCAGCATACATAAGGAGGATTACCAACAGACCCCTGGCAGTCTTCAAGCTGGCACTGGACAAGCACCTAAAGTCGGTTCCTGACCAGCCAGGCTGTGGCTCGTACGTTGGTTTGCGTGCAGCCAGCAGTAACAGCCTGGTTGATCAGGCTCTGATCCACCAGGAGGCCTGGTCACAGACCGGGCCGCGGGGGCGTTGACCCCCGGAACTCCCTCCAGGTAAACTCCAGGTAATTGGTTTAAGACAAGGTATGATAAAGCTCATGGAGCAGAGAGAGAGAGGACCTAGTAGCAATCAGTGAAGAGGCGGGGCCAGGAGCTATGACTCGACCTCTGCAACCACAAATAGGTGAGTATACACACACACACACACACACACACACACACACACACACACAACCTGATCTTATCCATATAATACATTATCATAGGATTATGCAGATTTGAAAAAATATGAGCGCTTGGGCCGACCGGGGATCGAACCCCAGTCCCCAGAATTGGTAGATATTACTGAAACCACCATTACTCACCTAATTGTGGTTGCAGGGGTCGAGACTCAGCTCCTGGCCCCGGGGCCAGTGTGCTGGTGCCGGTGTATCTTAGCTAGGAGACGACGTTTCATCTAGAAATGCCTGGGTATGATAGTGGCTTTCTTTGCTCCAATCATATTATGATATGTAAACACACATTGCAACCTTAGCAAAGAAACCAATATTTTATATACAGATTAAGATGGTCACATAACTTATCAGAAGTTAGAGACTTTTTTGACCAAAATAAAAAGAGGTTAAAGAGAAAAGGAAGAGATTAAGAGAATAGGAAACGCCGAACTAATATTGTCATATTGTTTTAGTGAGACAGTGAGAGAGCAAAAAAAAAATTCATTAGTAAAATTGAAGCCCAAAAATACTTTTCCTCCTCTGCAAAATCACAGGTAAAAAATAAAAACTCTAGCACTGTCCTCTTTATTAAGGAAGATTGAAATGAGGGAACGACAAGACAGAACACAACTCGGTGTTCAGTGAGCCACTCACCATATCAGGGCGAGGGGAACGGTGCTCCCAGGACCCTTAGACAGGTCAACAAAGTGACCCTTGACATCTCGATAAAATGACCTTAATTTTAAGCCAGTGGAATACCTCGGTCAAACGATCTATTAAGACCTGCATTAGGAAGCAATTGCTCTGCTTCCTGGAGAATCTTACCTTACTTCACCTAACATCTTTACCATCAGCAGCCCACAGCATCACAACAAGGCATGTCGATATTCATTGTCTATATTTACCTTATACCTCTAGGTCTCTGAAATTAAATACTAAATTTTTACATAAAATCACAAAGGAAATTTTAAAATTAAAACGTGTAAACACCATATTACTCTACACATACACCATTAGCACCACCTGTCTTTGTCTGTCCACACCACCACCTGTTTCACTCCGTCCACAACACTATTGCCGGGTCACCAACTGGACAAGACCCAGGCTGGGCCACTTCCAGCGAACCGTAAATGCAAATGCACCCCCACCACCACCACCACACCACCCCACCACCACCACCACCACCACCACCGCCACCCCACCACCACCACCACCCACACCACCACCACCACCACCACCACCCCACCACCCCACCACCCACCACACCCCACCACCACCACCCACACCACCACCACTACCACCACACCACCACCACTACCACCACCCCCCACCACCACCCCACACCACCACCACCACCACCACCACCACCACCACCACCACCCCACCACCCACCACCACCACCACCACCCCACCACCCCACCACCACCACCACCACCACCACCCCACCACCACCCACCCACCACCACCACCACCACCACCACCACCCCACCCCACACCACCACACACCACCACCACCACCCCACCCACCACCACCACCACCACCACCACCACACACCACCTCCACACCACCACCACCACCACACACCCACCACCACCACCACCACACCACCACCACCACCCACAACCACCCACCACCACCACCACCACCACCACCCACCACACCCACCACACCCCACCACCACCCCGACCACCCCACCACCACCACCACCACACACCACCACCACCACCCACCCACCCCACCCCCACCACCCCACCAACCCACACCCCACCACCACCACCACCCACGCACCACCACCACCACCACCCCACCACCACCACCACCCCACCACCCCACCACCACCCACCACCACCACCCACCACCACCACCACCACCACCACCACCACCACCACCACTACCACCACACCACACCACCACCCCCCCACACCACCACCACCACCGCCCCCCACCACACCACACCACCACACCACACACCACACACCACCACCACCACCACCACCACACCACCACACCACCACCACCACCCACACTACACCCCACCACCACCACCACCACCACCACCACCACCACCACCACACCACCACCGCCACCAACCACCACCACCACCCCACCACCACACCACCACCACCACCACCGCCCACCACCCCACCACCACCACCACCACCACCACCACCACCCCACCCCACCACCACCACCACCACACCACCACCACCACCACCACCACCACCGCCACCTCACACACACCACCACCACCACCACACCACCACCACCACCACACCACCCCCACTACCACCACCACCACCACCACTACCACCACCCCCCACCCACCACCACCACCACCACCACCCCCACCACCACCACCCACCACCCCCACCACCCCCACTACCACCACCACCACCACCACCACCACCCTACCACCACCACCACCCCCCCACCCCCACCACCCCCCACCCCCCACCACCACCCCCCCCACCACCGCCACCACCACCCCCACCACCCCCACCACCACCACCCCCACCCCCACCACCACCCCACCACCCACCACCTCTTTATTGGACATGTGACTTGTTTTTCCCAATCCGACCCACGAAGCGGTATCCATTTTCCCCAGTGGGTCTGGAACCCTGGGGTGTTTCACCATGGTTTGGTGGGAAAAACCATCGGCTTCTCGACGGCTGGATAGCAGGCGGGAATTTCCCCTGTCGACATGGCCGGCTTTGCTGAAATGTTCAATTTTATCTGAAGGTTAGTTTAATAGGTTTATTATTACTCTATAACCATCCGTTGGGGTGGTCAAAAAAATTACAGAGGACTTTATTGGGGGCCGGGAAATGCCCCCCCCCCATGCAAGGGCAGAACCATTATGGGACCAGGGATGGTCAACCCCCCCCCCTGCAAGGGCAAAAAGAAAATTTTGGACCCGGGATGGTCAACCCCCCCCCCCTGCAAGGGCAGGACACATTATGGGACCCGGGATGGTCAACCCCCCCCCCCCAAAACAAGGGCAGAGACACATTAAAAGGGACCGGGTGGTTCCCCCCCCCCCCCCCTGCAAGGGAAATCAGCAAGTTAAAAATTTTTTATCCGGGTTTAAATAACAATAAGTTGTAATAGAGAAAGTTCGACAAAACATTGTAATTACTTTCTGTTTTGATTTTTAATTATTTATAAATTTTGTATTAAATTTTTTAATCAAAACAAATTTTCTCTGATTTCCCCTTTTATATAAAGTATTAAAAAGACATACTGGTGTGTGGTGCTCATTTATTGTTAGTTACATAGGTCGAGTCTCAGTTCTTGGCCCTTGCTCTTAAATCGGCTGTTATTGGATTCACTCTCTCCTAGATCAAAGTCGATTATAGTTATAAATCTATTATAGATACTGCCTCTATCACTTCATTGTCCAGGGTAGTCCCCCTTTCCCGGTCCCTCTGAGGCTGAATAAATACTCTTAATAGCACTGTAACACATTTTTGGTTTTAGCTTCCAACTATTCCTTCGTGTACCTGTTTTTTTGTCTCTCCAATATCTTATCCCTGTCCATAATATTAAATTTTTCTGAGAATATTATAGCCTTTATCATGTCTTCTCAGGTCTTTCTATTCTTTAATGTCATCAGAATTAGTTCTTCAAGTTTCTCCTCATCGCTCGTGCCTCTTATCCCTGAGATTAGTGTCGTTGCAAACCTCTGCATTGCGGGTTTGACTGGCTCTGCATTCTGCAAGATGGGCCTAATATAAGTCAATTACAGTATCACGAAGGACCTTTTTGCTGAAATGCCTAAGAACTAATCTTAAGCTTACCATAAGTCTAAGGGAGGGATCCCAATCATATGTAGCATCTTGCCTAGAAGGGGAGTAGGAAATGAATGGTTGTCTAGGGCAATTGGTGTAAATTGCTGGCTAGACAGATACTGCAAGGAACTTGCAATCCCATTCATTGACAACTGGAACAACTTTTATGGCAAACATGATATGTATGCAAGGGATGGGGTACATCTCTCTGGGGCTGGGGTGGTAGCACTTGCAGACTCGATTGAGAAGGCCCATTGGTGAAATGCCTATGATTTAAACTGATGGAAGATAGAGGTATGGGTGTGTGTGGGAAACAGCAGGTTGCAACACTTGGGTTGGAAACAGTAAATGTAAAAAGGCTTTCAGCATGAAGTAAAAATAAAGACAATAGATCAGGTCAGCAAACAAAGGGGGACAGCAGAGGGCAGCAAGGGACTAGCTCCCTTAAGGTTTACTATATAATGCAGGAGTGTAAGAAATAAGATAGATGAGCTAAGTTTAATTGCAAGTGCAGGAAACATGATATTATTGCTATAACAGAGACCTGGCTTAATCTAAAAAGATAGAGAGATGCCCTCTGAATGTCACATACAAGGCTATAAATTATTCCACACTGACAGGGTCAACAGGAAAGGTGGTGGAGTAGCGATGTATGTCAGAGACAATTTAAATTGTTGTGTTAGACAAGATATTAAATTAGAAGCGTCAGCCACTGAATCTGTTTGGTTACAGCTTCTCGAGGGCCCAGAAAAAACTAATTTTGGGTGTGATTTACAGGGCCCCAAATCTTGATAGGGAGTGCAGTAAACTTCTATGGGACGGGAAAATTTGTAAGGCATCTACATACGAAAATGTTGTGCTAATGGGAGATTTCAACTATAGACAGATTGACTGGAGCAATTTGACAGGAAAATTTAGAGTCAGGTGACTTTCTTTATACGATCCAGGATTGTTTTTTAAAACAGTTTGTGACAGAGCCAACTAGGGGAAATACCCCCCTTGACTTGGGTTTTTGCCAGAGGGAAACACTAATTAATAATCTTGAGGTTAATGATGAGTTTGGGAAAGTGATACAAATCACTCATTTTAATATTCATAAATTCCCTAATAATGGCAATCAATTTCCCGCCCTGATTTTCGCTTGGTGTTTCTTTGGACGAAAAATTACTTAGGTGGGCTGAACGGGAAATGCCCTGACTAAGGGTCAGTAGGTGGTGATGGTTCCCGATATGGCTTTCCGGGGCATGCTTTAGCTGCTCAGTCAAATTATGTTAAAAATGGGGAAATAGAAAAACAAAAATGATCCAAAATGGATACAAAGTTTAAAAAATATCTGTTGGTAAAAAGGGAAGGATTATAGGCAAATCAAAGAGGGGGGGGGAATTTGAGAAACGATTATTCAGTTAAAGAGAGAAATAAAAAAGGGAATTAAAAAAAGCAAAAGGTTATGGGGTTAAAGTTGAAAGAGAATCGAAGACTAACCCAAAAAAGGATTCTTTCGGGTAAAAAGAAGTAAGTCAGGGCAATACCCCCACCAAAAGTTCCTCGGTCAGCTCACTGACAGTGTAAGGAAATGTGTAAATTTTAACACAACTTCCTCTCATTTTTTTAACCAGGAGGAAAACCAGCGATATTCCGTAATGTAAATTATGTAAACAGGAGAAAAAAAACTGTGCACTATTAGGGTCCAAGTGACATGGCCTTAGGCAAATAGAAAAATTAAAACCAAACAAATCCCCGGGCCCCTGATGAATGTATGCAAGGTTTTCAAAAGGAATGTAAAGAGGAGTTAGCACCCTTTGGCTAATTTTTCAACATATCACTACAAACTGGCATGGTGCCAATAAGGGGAAAATGGCAAATGTGATACCTATTTTCAAAAAAGGGTGACAGGGCCTTACTTCGAACTATAGACCAATAAACCTAACCTCCATGTGGGGAAAAATTTTTGGAATCAATAATTGCCGAGGCAGTTCGTAGCACCTGAAAAAGCATAAATTAAATAACGAATTCGCATGGTTTTTTCAAAAGGGGCGGCCTCCTTTTGAATTTTTTAACTTTTTTCATAAGGTTTTGAGGAGGTAAATTTATGGAATGAAAATGATATTTGATATGGACTTTAGTAAAGGGTTTTTACAGGGTCCCACTCGAGACTATGAGGAAAATTAAAACACATGGAATGGAGGAGAAATTTTTCCTGGAAGGGCATGGTTGACAAAAAGGGAGCAGAGAGTTTGCATAAATGGGGGAAATCAGAGTGGGGAAGCGCACGGCGGTGTTCCACAGGGGGCAGTTTGGGCCCCCTGTTCACAATCTACATAAACGACATAGATGAGGGGATAAAGAGCGACATCGGCAAATTTGCCGATGAAAACCCAAAAAAGGGCCGTCGAAATTTATTCTGAAGGACATTCAGCATCCCGGAAAATTTGAATAGATGAGCGTGGTGGGGAGAAATGGCAGATGCATTTAATTGACAAAACAAAGTTCTAAATGTTGGAAGGACAATCCATGCCACATATAAAAATAAATAAAAGTAGATTTAAAATTTTGGATTGCGAAAAAGATTTTGGGTTGGTTGCAGAAACTGAAAAACCCAAAACAACAGTGCTAAGTGTTCGCAATAAAAATATAGAATCCTTTGGGTTATATCAAGAAGCATAAATAATAGGAGTCCTAGGTTGTTTTCAACCCCTTTTACATCCTTGGGTTTGGCTCATTTAGTTTTTTGCACAGTTTTGGTCCCGTATTACAGAAGGATATAAAATTTTCGGAAAATGTACAAAAGGAGGATGACAAAGTTGATCCCATGATCAGAAACCTCCCTATGAGGATAGACTAAGGGGCCCCGAAAGCACTCTCTAGAAAAACGTAGAAAAGGGGGGAAACACATTTGGACCAGGGACTGGTCAACCCCCCCCCATGCAAGGGCAAGACACATTATGGGACCAGGGACTGGTCAACCCCCCCCCATGCAAGGGCAGAGACACATTATGGGACCAGGGACTGGTCAACCCCCCCCCATGCAAGGCAGAAAACATTATGGGACCAGGGACTGGTCAACCCCCCCCCCATGCAAGGGCAGAGACACATTATGGGACCAGGACTGGTCAACCCCCCCATGCAAGGGCAGAGACACATTATGGGACCAGGGACTGGTCAGCCCCCCCCATGCAAGGGCAGAGACACATTATGGACCAGGGACTGGTCAACCCCCCCCATGCAAGGGCAGAGACACATTATGGGACCAGGGACTGGTCAACCCCCCCCCATGCAAGGGGCAGAGACACATTATGGACCAGGGACTGGTCAGCCCCCCCCCCATGCAGGGCAGAGACACATTATGGGACCAGGGACTGGTCAACCCCCCCCCATGCAAGGGCAGAGACACATTATGGGACCAGGGACTGGTCAGCCCCCCCCCCATGCAAGGGCAGAGACACATTATGGGACCAGGGACTGGTCAGCCCCCCCCCCCATGCAAGGGCAGAGACACATTATGGGACCAGGGACTGGTCAACCCGCCCCCCCCATGCAAGGGCAGAGACACATTATGGGACCAGGGACTGGTCAGCCCCCCCCATGCAAGGGCAGAGACACATATGGGACCAGGGACTGGTCAACCCGCCCCCCCCCATGCAAGGGCAGAGACACATTATGGGACCAGGGACTGGTCAGCCCCCCCCCATGCAAGGGCAGAGAACACATTATGGGACCAGGGACTGGTCAGCCCCCCCCATGCAAGGGCAGAGACACATTATGGGACCAGGGACTGGTCAGCCCCCCCCCATGCAAGGGCAGAGACACATTATGGGACCAGGGACTGGTCAGCCTTCCCCCATGCAAGGGCAGAGACACATTATGGGACCAGGGACTGGTCAGCCCCCCCCCCATGCAAGGGCAGAGACACATTATGGGACCAGGGACTGGTCAACCCCCCCCCCCAATGCAAGGGCAGAGACACATTATGGGACCAGGGACTGGTCAGCCCCCCCCCATGCAAGGGCAGAGGACACATTATGGGACCAGGGACTGGTCAACCCCCCCCCCCCCCCCCATGCAAGGATAGCTCAGCAAGTTACAAATTTTGATCCGGTTACAATAACAATAAGTTGATAATAGAGAAATGAATTCAGTCACAAAGCATTATAATGTACTTTCTGTGTATTGTAGTTTGGAATTATTTATAACATTCGTATTAAATTATGAATCAAAACAAATATTTCTCTGATTTCCCTTGTATATAAAGTATATAAAAAGACATACGTGTGTGTGTGTGTGCTCATTTATTCTTAGTTACATAGGTCGAGTCTCAGTTCTTGGCCCTTGCTCTTAAATCGGCTGTTATAGGATTCACTCTCTCCTAGATTCAAAGTCGATTATAGTTATAAATCTATGTATAGATACTGCCTCTATCACTTCATTGTCTAGAGTAGTCCCCTTCCTGGTCCCTCTGAGGCTGAATAAATACTCCTAATAGCACTGTAACACATTTTTGGTTTTAGCTTCCAACTATTCCTTCGTGTACCTGTTTTCTGTCTCTCCAATATCTTATCCCTGTCCATAATATTAATTTCTCTGAGAATATTATACGCCTTTATCATGTCTTCTCAGGTCTTTCTATTCTTTAATGTCATCAGAATTAGTTCTTCAAGTTTCTCCTCATCGCTCGTGCCTCTTACCCCTGAGATTAGTCTCGTTGCAAACCTCTGCATTGCGGGTTTGACTGGCTCTGCATTCTGCAAGATGGGCCTAATATAAGTCAATTACAGTATCACGAAGGACCTTTTTGCTGAAATGCCTAAGAACTAATCTTAAGCTTACCATATTTAGCACTATGAACACACCGGGGTCTTTCTCCTTGCGTGAGGTTGCAACCTTTCTCCTCCGAGCCTATACTCGGTTTCTCATCTTCTTTGCCCTTCTCCAATTTACAAAGACTTACATTTGCTGGAGTTGATTTCCAATAACGATTTATCAAACCAGTCTTTTTGCTTGTATAGATCCCCTTGTAGTCTTTCCGTGTTCCGTATCCACTTATATCCTTGCTGTTGAAGCACACTATGTGAGAATTGTATACGTAGTACACTGTGTGAAGACTATTTTTATTTTCATACTGCTACAGCGCACTATGCGAGACCTGTCATGTTATGTACATACATGTACTATTGTACCACACTGCAAATTTTTCTGTCATGTATTACATCCTTATGAATAATTCAGCACAGAGAAAGCGAAGACGCTTGACACGAACACTACCAAATTATACTAGGTGAAGAGTAAACCCTTCTTTACGTTTCTTTACACTGCTTTTCGCTCTATCACTTAATAAATCTCTCAATAGAGTTATCCACCAAATTTTCATTTAAATAACGCCTCTTAAATGCCTGCTGTTTCTTCAGAATTCTATTGATTATTTTAGGTATCCCCGAGAGGGTACCTTGAAAAGGGTTCCTGATTTTTATCCTTTTTTTTTTTTCCTTCCTCCAACATCTTGATTTTATTTCGCCCATAATTCGAGAACGCTTCATCCAATCAGCTCAAATTTTCCACTGCTTGTGTGTGGCAACGAGGACCAAATTCTCGGAACAATTAGCATGTCCATGAGCCCCTCGACCAAAGTTACTGAAACCATTCCCAGCATCCTGGAATGGCTCAGATAACCTCCAAAACTCTCAGTTGCGTATCTTCAAATGTTTATTAAGAAGAGATAATTTCTTCTATTTCATATGCCACTATTTTTATAATTAGTTTCATGTATGGAACTTTATCAGAAGCCTTTCTGAAAGCCATAAACACAATATTCTATTCTTTATCTTGATAGACCGCCTCGAATATCTTAGTGAGAAAAGAATAGTAAATTCACAAAGCAAGAACGACCCTTTGTAAATCCCTGTTGAGATTCGCTGATCAGTTTATATCTTTCCAGGCAGCTTCATATTGCATCAGCATTTATTGACTGCATCACCTTTCCCACAGCTGAAGCTAGACTGACTGGTCTATAAGGACCTTTCCCCCTTTGTAAATAGATATCACATCTGCCATTTTCGTTTATCCGCTATGATACCCGTTTGAAATGACATGTTGGAGAGATTAGCTAATGGTTTGCTAAGTTCTTCCTTGCATTCCCTTAGAACCCTTGAAAACAGATCAGGTCCTGGGGACTTGTTTGGTATCAGTCCATCTAGTTGTTTGACGACCATGACACAAGTAACTGATATTCAGTAATTTATTTTCGTCCTGACCAGTAAAATTCCCGATTTCTCGGATTTCTCGGATAAGTATTGAAAATAGTAGAGATTTCTTTGTCACTACCAGAAGGTGAGTTACGGTTAAGTTGGCCCATCTCTTCCCTTATCTTATACAGGTATACCTGAAAGGAACCCTTACGATTGTTTTTTGATTCCCTCGCAATTTTAATTTCATGTTCTCTTCCGGCTTTCATTATATATTTTTAGACTTCTCTCTTAAGTTGAATATGTTGTATATACTGATTCGCCTGTAAACGCCTGTTTTCTAGTTGTTATGACACTCATGAGGAGAAGCGGTAAGCAGGTGGGGATCACATAGTGCCTGGGTAAATGGGAAGCAGTCAGGTTCAAATTCCCCAGTAAAGAAAGTGATTAAGAGATCACGAATCCGCTTGGAGTTAGATTCCCTTTGCATGTGGTTAATTTCCTTATTAATCTATTGTTTCTTGTCATCTGGGTGCACAGTGTGTAATATTTAATGTTATCTAACAAATTATCACATTGTCTATCTTTTTGGCAGAGAAACGCTCCCATGATGCCTTACAACGTTGGTTTTGAAGAGGACGGCTTCCTCAAGGCCCTGAAGATCAAGCCAGAAGACATTGAACCACTCGCTGACAACTGCACCAAGGTAAGTACATTTATAACTTTCCCTTCATTGGGAGAGTGACGCAGGTATTGGGGAAGGACTCATGATCCTCCCATTCCTTCCAAGGAGCTATTTGACTCATACATGAACTGTGATAAATGTCCCATTAATGCTCTGAGAACATGCTAGAGGAGCTTGTCATCCGGAGATTCTTAAGGGACCAGTTGTAATTATTTCATTGTGGTAGAATTCCTTCCTCGTTCAACGACGGTGCAGTTAGAGTATATACGCGAAAAACTTTAATTTGTCACTATGTAGCTAAAAAAAAAAGGACTTTATACACAGATAACCAGTACATAGTTGAAAGAAACTTACGACGGCGTTTCGGTCCGTCTTGGACCATTAACTAGTAATGGCCCAGATCGGACCGAAACGTCGTCGTAAGTGTCTTTCTCATATGTGCGGGTTATTTGTACATTGTTTCAGTCACAGTATTTTGCCTTTATATTCTTAAAAAAAAAAAGTCTTTCTTTGTAATTAAAGAGTTACCTGGGGTATAAACTTCCATAGTCGTTTACATATAGACAATCAATCCCATTTCCTGTACAATGTCATAGTTTTTAGGCTGAATGATTCTATATGATATTAAGTACACCAGCAGAAGTTTGAGAGTTGTCATTCACTTGTAAAGCCAAACCATATACGAAAAATTCGATATTTTTTTTATATTTTTAACTTAATTTTAAATTATTTTGGTTTATGTAAGCCAATAACATCAAATATTTTTTTATGCATCCTCCTTTGGATAATTTATAAGCACAATATCTTAAAGAGGATTAATCTGTGTTAATCTGGTTGCCAAAACCCATTATTTTTGCTAAACATGGAGTTTTTTGTTGCATATTTATTTTAAGCAGAGTTTGAGATTTTTTTATGATTCCAGGTTAATAATCCAGTGGGAATCAATTTCACCTTTGAGGAATTTGAAAAATCCAAAACAAGTCGGTCATAGATCACCTGTTAATTCACGGAAGGAGACACATATATCATCATGATATTAATTTTAATAAGTTCCACATTTTATATTTTACAGATTAAAAAAAAAACAATTTTCATGTTCCAATCATGACTGGATGAGCTAACTTATGAGACAGCAAGATGGCATCTGGTTTAACTCCGCTTATTATCAGTGAGGCTGATGGTTAACAGAGGACAAGTGCTGCAAGTTGTCGCCGCCAGCACGCCGAAGATAACTGGAAAGAATTTTCCTAGACCACGAGAGCACTGCGCATTATAATGGAAATTTTACGTGTGATTATGAGTGAAGTCATTTCATTTGATAAACTTATTTAGGAACTAAAAGATGGATGACATAGAAGCAGGACAATAAAACAATGGGTCGATAACCTTATAAAAGCTAGTATTATTGATGATGTCCACTAAAGGCGACAGGGAAGGAGAGTGGACGCTACACTTGTGGACGCTAAACGGTATGAAGTCCTCTTTCCTCGATGTAGGTCACAATTATCATTACATTCCTAGCATACAGTACTGGCAAGTTGATGAATAAATCACACGTATAATACTTGGGTATCCTTATTGATGGGGAACATTTCGCCAATCAGTAGCAAAATTTCTCCATCAATAAATAATAATAATAATAATAATAATAATAATAATAATAATAATAATAATTCGTACAGTTACACATGCTTTTTATTCATCCGAATTTATCATGCAAGATACGGATTCGCTAATCTCGGATCAATGCTTAAGTTGCATATTGAAACCTCAGAGAGATTTCTAAAGAGGCAGCACGGAGTCAATAAGCTCAGACAAGCTCATTCAAACCCTCCGAACTTTCCTCATCACTGATGAACACTCCTCCAGATGGATCATAAAAACTGGAACTGAACTCCACATGAGTCAGATACATGATCTATGTCAAGTAAGACAACAGCGGCATTTCCTCGCTCTATAGGATATTATCCCCATTCCAAACTACTGTCCCTCCCTTTCCCCCCCCCCCCAAAAAAAAAAAAAAACTTCTTAAATCAGAAGCAAGGCTTCGCCTTGAAGCGAAGTAGGATGCCTTAAGCTGTACTGATGACTTACTCACACAGCACACTCTTTCACAAATTATTTATGTTGATGGTTCTGTTCATTTTCCACTGGTACAGCTGGTAGTGCTGCTGTTGTCATACAGAGTGACGGCTCTCATAAAGAAATTGGAGCCCGCATCATTAACTGGGCCTCTACCCTTCAAACTGAGCTGTTTGCCATACTCCTTGCACTCAATTGCGTCAATGTATTAAAGGTTGGCATTTTAATTGTAACTGATTCCCTATCATCCATAAATGCTCTCAACTCCTTAAGTATCAATTGTGGCATGCAGAGGCGTCGTAAGAAGGGGGGAGCCCGCCCCGAGTGACACCATTTAGGGGGTGACACCACAGAGCCTCTAAAGAAGGTGACACTAATGCACAAAACAGTGCTGCACCAACATAAGAGAAGAATCCTTCGTTGATTTTGATGATTTGATAGAATGATTTTGATGATGTGATAGATGATTTTGCATAATTGAAGGCAAGAAAATGTAATATCAGATTTGCTGTGATGTTACCTGTACTCAAGGTCATATCGGAACTAGTGTTTCTCTGATATTGCAATGTTTTTCTTTATTTTTCAAGTTTTTTTTTTTAGTTTTTGCATTGTTGAAGATGAATAAATGTAGGATCTGTTGTGTGTACTCAAAGTGGCATTTGAGTTTATGTTTCCTCAATATTATTACCATTATATATTCTATCATTAATAAAGTTAAGAAGTATTCTCCTGTTCAGTTTATGGCCCTTAAACGTTCTTATTGCTAAACATTTGTCACTGGTCATGCAGTAGTGACATAACTGGAGTTTACTCCCTCCCCCTATCCCCTCGCCCTTGAATTTCATGGGGGTGACACCAAACATGGTGCCCCGGGTGACACCAGAGATTCCGCCCCGGGTGACACCAACTCTAGCGACGCCTCTGGTGGCATGCTTTTGTCAGAAGTCAGACAGGTATGGTAGGATTGTAGACAGTGGAGACGGAGCACACCTTCTGTAGATTCCGTTTCACATTGGTCTTCAGATGCATGATAGAACTGATGAATGGTCTATGTTATATGCCTTCAAAGAGGCATATAACATGGGCTGTCAGTTAGGAGTTTAAGAACAATAATACGAAAAAAACTTCACCTGAACTTCATTGACTTAAGACTGAGGGAGACTGACACCAGTCAATCCATCTATCAACGTTCTATCAAGCAGGAGGAGCCACATGTCTATGGTGCATCCAACAAAATAAACTCTTGGATGTCACTACCGCCCGGACAGATGCACAATTAATTGTCACACCCTGCGTCATTATGTACTGGAATGCGACAAAATTAATGAATTCAGAGACAACTCACTCCGAAATATTCAAGAAATGTCGAAGTATTTTATCCACAGTGGTATATTACAAACCATTCTGGAAAAAATACCCTGACTTTGCTCACTGTAAATAATGGATTACCACTTTTTTTGCGCGTGTGACCTAATTCATGTCTGCACAAATAACTAATTACGATTGTGACCAGATATAAAGATGTAACTAGTTCATTACCACTGTAACTTGTTCAGCTATCAAAACTTTGCGCCCTAGACCCATTATGTACCTCTGTAATCTTTTGACTACCGCTCACAGGATGGGTACGGAGTGCATAATAAAGATAATAAATTATTTTTAAGCAAAAACTATAGAGGGAAATATGGACAGACTTGTTATCGAGACGACCTTTATGCGCTAAGGAAATTGTCCGGAAAGACTCATCGTAACACACCGAAAGAGAAAGTTGCCTGTCGGTTTCCTTTAAGTCTACACATCACATCTGTAGCAGTGTGTGGAACAACATACAAGATCTGATGGCTTCATCTCCTGAGATACAGCCTTTTTGATGGGATCCAAAAATATAAAACTGACGGAGACCATTAGGGAAAGGGAGAAAGATTATCACAGTGTGTTGATCCAATGAATAAGTGTGGGAAAATTTGACTACATTAGCTCAAATCTTCCAATGAGGTTGAATAACGAAATTTTAATAAATAAATTAAAATATACATGTTAAGAAAAAATATTCGACTTAAAGCGCGAGCTTAAGAAAAACATACATTTGTTAGCACTTCATTAGGGTATTTAATCACTACAATCAAATTCAGGAGGGTCTTAATCCTATTTAACTGAATAACCAAACTTCTTGGAGAGCACTATATTACATCATCGCATTTATGAGCGATATTAATTACATATACATTTATACCTTTCAGTCGCGTTCTCGGCTGGATTGAGGCAAGTAGATGGGTATGACCATTGTTGTGAATTAAAACTGAAGACAGTAGGCATAATCATCTTAGAATCTGTCCCAAGATAGTGCGTGTCAACACCTAAAAACTCCACCAGCTTAACCCAACAAATAACAATATGGCAAAGCTATCTAGAAGTGCAGAGGCAACCTGAGAACTATTCTGCCAACAAAATAGGCCCCATTCTCTGAGCGTTGGAAATTCATGACTCATGAAATAGTAATGACACGATTGTAAATAAACCACTGCACTTGTGGAGAAATTTTCTCCAGGACGGGGATATCAGCCCCCTTCAGCCCCTTTCAGCCTCTTTCAGCCCTGAGAAGCCCAGCCCTCTCAGAAGGAGCAAGCATCTTGTTTACTGCTACAGCAAGTAATTACCAGCAGATGTTTAACCAGCGTGTACCAGTTATGGGTCACGCGGCTCTTTGCAAGAGACCACTGTTGCAAGTGTGTAGTTTAAATAAGATATAATCAATCTCTTACCTTAGCAGGACAATTAAGGAAAATCCTGCACCCACTTTATTACCATGGTAAAGATAGCGTACAGTGTTGTCTATGTTTAGACAGCAAGAATCAAGCATTCTGCATTGCTTCCTGGTGGAAGTTTGGCAAGGAGGGGAAATATGCTAGGTCAGCTTTTCCTTTATGTGCTAGGGGCATTGGCAGCGGCGTAGGAGGCTGTGGGGTTAGATTGATTTTGGCCCTGTTGGGGGAAACATTGACGCCGGGATAACCAACAAAGAACACTGATCCACGCGTTTTTGTTCATAAAAGTATCTCAAAGACCATATCAAGACACAGAGAAGTGTGTTCAGCTTCTTTAGTGACATTATGGTGAACAAATCATGATAAATATCAGTGTAACAACGAGTGTTGCGATCCAAACGGAGTGTGTACGACATTCTTCAAATAACATGTCTGCTTCAATCAAGACAACAGAATACTGGGTGCAACTACGGGTCAGCTACAAATACCCAGGCGTGTTTAACATGCATGATAGGGGTAGGTTGGCTGCGCAGCAGATATCCTTTTATGTTTATTAACGTACCAATACCGGTGAAACGCAGACTTTTGAGTCCACACACGTGAGTATTGGTTCCAGTCAGCAATCAGTTTCTGAGATATGCTGACATAATACCCCCTAGGGGTAATTCTACTCACCCATAACAAATTATTTTCCAGCCCATGAGGTAGTGCATATGACAGCTTCTCAAGACATCGCCTGCAGGGACGGCTTAGCTTGTAGCATTATCCTCAGCAGTACTGGAGGGGCTTGATGAACTCACACCATCACTTAAGCCACTGACCCAGTGGCTTACGTGCTGGCCTTGAGTTTTGCGACTCCCTTACCTCGAGTTCAATCCCCACCCGTGCAGTGGTTTCATCGGAAATTGTCATGGGAAATCTCTTTAATTTGTTAAACCGACTTGTAGTGACAACCACTTATATAGTTTAAGCAGTTTTCAGGGGTCTGATCGAGGCAGTTATTAGCGGGGTAGATACCCCAAATAGGTCAATTTGCAATATCATTATTTTTAACATTTCACCTGTCATATTGATGTCACCCCTGCTGTTTAATAGGAATTTATTATTAACCTTATTTTAGGATACAGACCCCTGATTTAACTTTTGTATGCTAGCAACCAGTCATGAGGGTTCATACTCCAGGATGATTAACCTTCGAGTCAAATTTGTTAGGGGCTAACTGTCGGGAAAGACCTTAAGAACAATCTCAAGTAAGTCTGGTTCTGTTTGTCTTTCATCCATTTTTTAGCCAAGAAGAAATGAATTCGCAGGAGAGTTATGAGGATAAGATTGCCACCTCAATTAACCTGCGAAGGCAGTGATCATCTTATATCAGAGAAACTCTCACAAGAATGACAAGAATTCCTCTAGCATCCTTAACAGTATGATAATATAAAAAAAAATGTGACTTCCGTGGGGCTCCTTCCCTGGACGCATTATATATAATAAGTGCCTCTATAATCTTTTGGCTGCTGCTTGCAGGATAGGTATGAGGTGCATAATAAATATATTAAACTAGCTTTACCTACAAAATACTAGCAATAAATTTGATTAAAATCCTCATTATTGATGTTGCTCTACAGAATATATTTCCTTTATTCATAGATGTGAAAACAACCACCTTGATAGCCATTTTGGATCTCTCAAATTCCTGAAGAGTGACCACAATGACAGCCGCTGGCTTATTAGTCTAGATACCATACCTCAGAGGTTTGGTAACAGTTAAAAACAAGTGTGATCTATAAAATTCCAGGTTCATCCATTTTTCCACTGGACATTTTTGTATGGAAATGCTGACCTACTTGTAACCTCATTTGCACCTGATAATCACGTAAACATATAGGATATTTATTTTTTGTGTGATGAATGTCCAAATAAGGTAGAGTGAGCCAAGGAGAATGTAGAAAATACTGTATATTTTCCAAAAATACAGTGTATTTTGCATGTGAATTGATGGCATATATTGTAGGTAATAAAAATTAATTTGTAAATAAATAAAGAGCCAGCGATGGGTGAGCGTTGCTGGGGAAGAGACACCATTGTTTTTGAATGGGGTAAAGGCACGTTAGTGAAATGTGCATAAATTTTGTAGCTCTGGAAGTTAAATTGTGGTTGAAACTTCCCAAATAGGAGCCGAAATTGTTGGATTTGCAGTCCTGCATAACATAAGCATTAGGTGAATGGACAGGACAGCTTTGGAACCCCAGCTAAGTCACGTCTATTTTGTGTTGAAATTCTGGCCAGTATTTTCTTCATAAATTTAGGCAGGGGGGTTGTGTATGATACACCAAGTAATCTCCAGACAAATTGGTGAGTCTTATTATTATAAATTCTCCTTCAATGTATATGTATTCACATTTTAAATTTAATATACAGTCCACATATTTATATTAATGTTTTTACCAGAATTCCTGGTGATGTATATTTCATTTGAAATCAATATAGGTCCAGAGTGACTTGTGGAGAGATAGATTACCGTAGGTATCGAAGGAGGACATTTTTTTGCGACCTAGGTGTCCTAAAATTCCTACTTGTCTCTGTAACCTTGATAAAGAATAATTATCTTTGTTGCCATTTACTGGTATGTATCTAATGAGATTCATCCAGGCAAATTTAATTTTCCACAAGAAAAACAAGATAATAAATCATTTAGTATAAGCAGTCATGATTATATTAAATTCATGTGCTTCCCAGCGCCACTTATACTTTCTGAGAGTGTATTTCTTTCGATGTATATGCACTGAGAAGCAGCAGTTTATACACCAAGGCCTAAGGGTACATATACACAGCAGTATGTATATATTCAGAGATTATTCTAAATTTCTCTTTTAGGGATTTAAATATTATTGATTGTTGGAACGCAGATGAAACTCAGCCTCAGTGATCTACATGCAGTCGACAGGTTATAAATCGAAAACTAGCCGACCCCCAACCTCAAACACTGGACATTAGTCCTCAAATAATCTCTTTTTTTTTCAGATTTTAGTGTGGCACACAAGGACAGTGAAGAGCCTGCCGGCCCTTAAGATGCCTGACTCGGACAAGGTCACCAAAACAAACCTTAACCATCTCAAATCACAAATGGTCTTTCAACTGCCTTATGGACTCTCCTAGTTACTACATCACCCAGCAACCATTATTACATAGACTGTATCATTTACATTATTTGCACCCCATAAGTATTACAGGGAACAAATGAAGCATTTGTAGGTTAATAGTTTCTAGCACTGGTCATCCTCATCTTAAATTTTGTAGTTAGGCTTTTTTTAGATCGACGAAGACGGGATGTTTATTATGATGACTGATACTGTATTGTGTGATGACTGATACTGTATGTGTGGTGATGACTGATACTGTATTGTGTGATGACTGATACTGTATTGTGTGATGACTGATACTGTATTGTGTGTGATGACTGATACTGTATTGTGTGATGACTGATACTGTATTGTGTGTGATGACTGATACTATATGTGTGATGACTGATACTATATGTGTGATGACACTATGTGTGTGTTGAAACATACATACGAATGACAGGAGTTATGAAAGACAATAGCAAGCAGTATGAATTTTCAAAAGGCAACTTACCTTACTGTAAGACACTTGACAGACCCAAGTATAGTACTATATTATGATATTCTAGCAATCTGTTCATCCATATTTTCCTGTATCGTCACTTCGAGTCACTCAACGTTGCTTCCTAACACGTCTTCAGCCTCGTGTACAGCCAAGCACCTACACACATACATTTTTAATATTCATTTAATCATTCAAGTCCAGACTACACACTCCTTTCGAATGTTAATGTGAGAAAAAAAAATGAAATGCCACGTAATGCGAGATGTTAAAAATTATGTAATCATCTAATACGATTATATTATAAGCTGGTGCTGCTGAATGTCAAGAAATCTTACGTAATATAAAAACTGTGGGTGAGTTGAGGAGTAAAATAACTAGGCTGTCTACTGACGGAATCATTAAAGGCACAATATACAAATAATCCCCCCCCCCCGTTTTTGGATTATTATTATTATTATTATAATCAAGGGGAAGCGCTAAACCCGTAGGATTATACAGCGCCTGGGGGGGGGGAATGTGGAAGGCATTCAGGCTTAATTCGGGGAACTGGAGCACAGATCCAATTCCCTAAATCAAGAGCCCCTCACCAACATCAAGGAACCTTCCCTGAGGGGAACCCGTTTTTGGAGATAGAAAAAGCGACCGAGACATCATCGTAAGCTTTTCTCTCTCCTGTGTTCTGGTTATTTGTGTATTGTTCCAGTTACGGTATTTTTTTTTTTTGTTCATTAAAGGCAAATTTTTATCATTTTTAAACTTCAGCTTCTGATGGCCAGTCACCTCAGACTTGTCACTGGCTAAACACATTGATTATTTCACACTTGTTGATTCACTGTCTATATTCTATTTTTACTGTTTTAAACATCTTTTTTTTTTTGAGGGGAGATATGCATCGCTTGTGTTGTTATTTCCATTCATTTTTAGTGTTAAAATGTATGTATTTTTTTTTTTTGGCGAAAGACGACACATTAGAAAGCGTCACTGCACCTTACGTTTATTTTCAAAGATTTGTTTATACATAATGCATATTTTCCAAGATATAACTATAATTGATGTATATTTTCCAATATTTATTTATACATGATGTATATTTTCTAGGATTTAAGTATACATGATGTATATTTTCCAAGATTTAGTTATGCAAATGTATATTTTCCAATATTTAATTAATTATAATTGATGTATATTTTCCAAGATTTATTGATACATGATGTATATTTTCCAAGATTTAATTATACATGATACATAATTTCCAAGATTTCATTATAAATGATGTATATTTTCAAAGATTTACTTATCCCTGGAGATGGTTCGGGGGCGTATATGTATATATGTATATTTTTCAAAATTTACTTATACATGGTGTATATTGTCCAAGTTTTCATTATAATTGATGTATATTTTCAAGATTTAAATTATACATAATGTATATTTTCCAAGATTTAATTGTTCAAGAAAACTGTGTATGTATCCTGCACGAGGTACATTACTTGGTTTATATTAATTGTGAAAGAAGAGAAGGAAATATATTGAAACTTGTGTACCGAGGATGTTATTGTTCGTGATTTTTTCAGTTGACATCGACTATCTTTCTCCTCTCTTAAGCAATGAATAAATCTAAAATAACGTGTGGGAGTGTCATATAAGGTGTGGGAGTGTTATATAAGGTGTGGGAGTGTCATATAAGGTGTGGGAGTGTCATATAAGGTGTGGGAGTGTCATATAAGGTGTGGGAGTGTCATATAAGGTGTGGAGTGTCATATAAGGTGTGGGAGTGTCATATAAGGTGTGGGAGTGTCATATAAGGTGTGGGAGTGTCATATAAGGTGTGGGAGTGTCATATAAGGTGTGGTAGTGTCATATAAGGTGTGGGAGTGTCATATAAGGTGTGGGAGTGTCAAATAAGGCGTGAGTGTCATATAACGTGTGGGAGTGTCACATAAGGTGTGGGAGTGTTATATAACGTGTGTGAGTGTCATATAAGGTGCGAGTGTTATATAACGTGTGGGAGTGGCATATAAGGTGTGGGAGTGTCATATAACGTGTGGAAGTGTCAAATAACGTGTGTCATATAACGTGTGGGAGTGTCATATAAGGTGTGGGAGTGTTATATAACGTGTGTGTCATATAACGTGTGTGAGTGTCATATAACGTGTGAGAGTGTCATATAACGTGTGAGAGTGTCATATAACGTGTGGGAGTGTCAAAGTGTTGGAACGTCATAATGCGTGTTGGAGTGTCATATAACGTGTGGGGGTGTTATATAACGTGTGGGAGTGGCATATAAGGTGTGGGAGTGTCATATAACGTGTGGGGGTGTTATATAACGTGTTGGAATGTAATAATATGTGTGGGAGTGTCAGAGTCTGCTTACGTAACACCATCATGTAACATACGTAACACCATCATGTAACATACGTAACACCATCATGTAACATACGTAACACCATCATGTAACATACGTAACACCATCATGTAACATACGTAACACCATCATGTAACACACGTAACACCATCATGTAACATACGTAACACCATCATGTAACACACGTAACACCATCATGTAACACACGTAACACCATCATGTAACACACGTAACACCATCATGTAACACACGTAACACCATCATGTAACACACGTAACACCATCATGTAACACACGTAACACCATCATGTAACACACGTAACACCATCATGTAACACACGTAACACCATGTAACACACGTAACACCATCATGTAACACACGTAACACCATCATGTAACACACGTAACACCATCATGTAACACACGTAACACCATCATGTAACACACGTAACACCATGTAACACACGTAACACCATCATGTAACACACGTAACACCATCATGTAACACACGTAACACCATCATATAACACACGTAACACCATCATGTAACACACGTAACACCATCATGTAACACACGTAACACCATCATGTAACACACGTAACACCATCATGTAACACACGTAACACCATGTAACACACGTAACACCGTCATGTAACACACGTAACACCATCATGTAACACACGTAACACCATGTAACACACGTAACACCATCATGTAACACACGTAACACCATCATGTAACACACGTAACACCATCATGTAACACACGTAACACCATCATGTAACACACGTAACACCATCATGTAACACACGTAACACCATCATGTAACACACGTAACACCATCATGTAACACACGTAACACCATCATGTAACACACGTAACACCATCATGTAACACACGTAACACCATCATGTAACACACGTAACACCATCATGTAACACACGTAACACCATCATGTAACACACGTAACACCATCATGTAACACACGTAACACCATCATGTAACACACGTAACACCATCATGTAACACACGTAACACCACCATGTAACACACAGTTGTGTCAGTCTCTGCAGTGGTGGAAATATTTGTAGTTTCATAGGAGCGAAAGTTTTTTCTTTATAATTTGTATGTTTATTTTTTAGACATGTCCATACAACTTTTTTTGTAAACATTTATAACATGGTAGTTCTCTTTGTCATCTAAATGTATGGTACAATAATATATTTTTGCACAATAAAAAAAACCGTATTATAAATTCTGAACTCATTTATTGTGTCGATCCATCCCAAATCAGTGATAAAGTATTGTCAATGTTTGTAATGTACGAAGAAGAAAGATGAATAAATTAACGTAAGAACACAGAAGAGAAGAGAAGAAGCGAGTGTCTTTTTATTTTTTTTTTTTTCACTTTATTTCTTCAAGCTACAGTCCTAACTAAAGATTAATGTAATGAAGGAAAGTTCATGATATTTTTGGTTTATTTTCGAGGGGAAGCGCTAAATCCGTAGGGAAGGGTCATACAGCCCCCTCCTCCTCCTCATCGTTGAAGAACATCAGGGCAGCTTCAAATCCTTGGACGAAGAGTCACTTCCAGTGTTCACATAACACTAACTCTTCTCCAGCATTTAGGCTCTGTCGACACCTTTGTGGTTGAGTGATTTCACTGTGTCACTGAAGGAGTCAGCAAATATTCCCCATAACTTTAAGACTAAGACATTTTGGCTCCTTACATTTTTGTATAAATTCATTAAATGTCTTAATTAGTTACAATAAAAATAAAACAGATATAAAATTAATATACTTTGACTACGTCGGAATAACCAGTAATGGCAACCAATAGTCCTTAACCTGACTCCTTCACTGATAGACACTTCTCCATATATTATACAGTAGCTCCCAGAGGAGCGAAAAGTACAGATTTGAATTATTAAATAAAGGAACATATTTCAGGAATCTTGCTTACGAAGGTATATGTACAAAAGATATAAGATATACCCTGGGACACGAAGCCCTCGTTCCCTGAAACTGAGGTCTTATCTCAAAACACCAGGTGCCAAGACGGATTGGAAGGACGGGTAAGCCAGCGGAAGACCTCGGTCGAATGAACAAAATCTCCAACTGTGGGTCATCATATGGCCAAGACCCGCGTCAGGAAACATTTGTTCTGTTTCCTGACATACCTAACACCTACCTACCTACGGGATTGGAGTATTCAAAATCTAAGATAACTTGTGTGCCAGGCTCAACAATTTTGTAGCATATACCCCACAGCATACGATATATTAACAAAGTCCTGGAGAACAAAATTGCACTGAATGCAACCCCCCCCCCCCCCCCAAAAAAAAAAAAAAAAAAAATAAATTATCCATTTAGTAACATAACTGACAAAAAAGGGATGCATCCAATAATTTCTTAAACAATATTTACATGGAAATATTACTGTGCTTTAGTCTCCAAGATTATGAGACCTGGTATTACTTCTCTCATTCTTGAGGAGGAACGAGAGAGAAGCCGCTGGCCCACTTGTGTATATAACCAGTAGAGAAAAATATAGCAAAGCAAACATGGTCTGCGATATTAACCCTCGACCCTTGTATTAATATTTATCTTCCCTTGAGTTTACCTGGAGTTTACCTGGAGAGAGTTGTTGAGGAGCATAGAAAAAGTCCCGTCTCCTTCCAGTGTGAACAGGTCACTACGTACTGGAATACGGTACAATTAGTATCCAAAAATCTGAGTAGTCGATTGGTGTTTCACACAACCTTACTACACCTTTTGAAAGAAAACAAGTATTAAATATTGAAGATATGTCACACAAAAACGATTAATTAAAAATCAAAGATAATTCAAACATGGCCGCAAGAATCAGGCCATACACTGACACTTGTTATAGTTGTGGTGTAAACGTGTGCGTGTGTGTGTGTGCGTGTGTGTGTACTCACCTAATTGTACTCACCTAATTGTGGTTGCAAGGGTCGAGACTCAGCTCCTGGCCCCGCCTCTTCACTGATTGCTACTAGGTCCTCTCTCTTTCTCTGCTTCCTGAGCTTTATCATACCTCTTCTTAAAACTATGTATGGTTCCTGCCTCCACTACTTCACTTGCTAGGCTATTCCACTTCCTGACGACTCTATGACTGAAGAAATACTTCCTAACGTCCCTGTGACTCGTCTGAGTCTTCAGCTTCCAGTTGTGACCCCTTGTTCCTGTGTCCCCTCTCTGAAACATCCTATCTCTGTCCACCTTGTCTATTCCCCGCAGTATCTTGTATGTCGTTATCATGTCTCCCCTGACCCTTCTGTCCTCCAGTGTCGTCAGTCCGATTTCCCTCAACCTTTCCTCGTACGACATCCCCCTGAGCTCTGGGACTAGCCTTGTTGCAAACCTTTGTACTTTCTCTAGCTTCTTGACGTGCTTGACCAGGTGTGGGTTCCAGATTGGTGCTGCATACTCCAGTATGGGCCTAACATACACAGTGTACAGTGTCTTGAACGATTCCTTATTAAGGTATCGGAACGCTATTCTCAGGTTTGCCAGACGCCCGTATGCTGCAGCAGTTATTTGGTTGATGTGTGCCTCCGGTGACGTGCTGGGTGTTATGGTCACCCTGAGGTCTTTCTCCCTGAGTGAGGTCTATAGTCTTTGTCCACCTAGCCTATACTCTGTCTGCGGTCTTCTATGCCCCTCCCCAATTTTCATGACTTTGCATTTGGCAGGATTGAATTAGAGAAGCCAGTTTCTGGACCACATGTCCAGCCTGTCCAGGTCTCTTTGCAGTCCTGCCTCATCCTCATCCGATTTAATTCTTCTCATCAACTTCACATCATCTGCGAATAGGGGCACTTCAGAGTCTATTCCTTCCATCATGTCGTTCGCATATATCAAAAATAGCACTGAACCTAGAACTGACCCCTGTGGGACCCCGCTTGTCACAGGCTCCCACTGTGATACCTCGTCACGTACCATGACTCGTTGTTGCCTCCCTGTCAGGAATTCCCTGATCCATTGCAGTGCCCTCCCTATTACATGCGCCTGATCCTCCAGCTTCTGCACTAATCTCTTGTGGGAACTGTGTCAAAGGCCTTCCTGCTGTCTAGGAAAACGCAATCAACCCACCCCTCTCTCTCGTGTCTTACTTCTGTTACCTTGTCATAAAACTCCAGGAGGTTTGTGATACAAGATTTGCCTTCCATGAACCCATGCTGGCTTTCATTTATAATCTTGTTCCGTTCCAGGTGTTCGACCACTCTCCTCCTGATAATCTTCTCCATGACTTTGCACACAATACATGTCAGAGACACAGGTCTGTACTTTAGCGACTCGTTTCTGTTTCCTTTCTTAAATATGGGGACTACATTTGCTGTCTTCCATTTCTCAGGTAGTTGCCCAGTTTCAAGGGATGTGTTGAAGATTGTGGTTAGAGGCACGCACAGCATCTCTGCTCCTTCTCTAAGGACCCATGGGGAGATGTCCGGTCCCATCGCCTTTGAGGTATCAAGGTCACTTAGCAGCTTCTTCACCTCCTCCTCGGTTGTTCGTATGTCATCCAACACTTGGTGGTATATTCCCTCTTGATGTTCCCTTCTGTGCTGACTTCCCACAGCCCTTCCTGTCTCTACTGTAAAAACTTCCTTAAATCTCCTGTTTAGCTCCTCACATACCTCCTGGTCATTTCTTGTGAGTTCTCCCCCTTCTGTCCTTAATCTGATCACCTGGTCTTTGACTGTTGTCTTCCTCCTGATGTGGCTATACAACAGTTTCGGGTCAGTCTTGATTTTCGATGCTATGTCATTTTCATACTGTCGCTGGGCCTCCCTCCTTACCTGTGCGTACTCGTTCCTGGCTCTGCGACTAATCACCCTATTTTCGTGTGTTCTTGCCTTCTGTGCTTTTTCCATTCTCTATTGCACTTTGTTTTTGCCTCCGGGTAAACCAGGGCTCGTTCTGGTCTTCCCGTTGTTTCTGTTGCCCTTGGGAATAAACCTTTCCACTGCCTCCTTGCATCTTGTTGTTACATATTCCATCATTTCATTTACTGGCTTTACTGCCAGTTCTCTGTCCCACGGGACCTCCTGCAGGAAGTTCCTCAACCCTATGTAGTCCCCCCTTTAATAGTCAGGCTTTTCCCATTCAACTCCTGTTACTCTCTCCACTTGCAGCTCTACTATATATTCAAAGCACAGAACCACGTGGTCGCTAGCTCCTAGGGGACTCTCATACGTGATGTCCTCAATGTCTGAACTGCCAAGGGTGAACACAAGGTCCAATCTTGCTGGTTCATCCTTCCCTCTCACTCTGGTTGT